CTCAGTGAAACGCCCTGAAGCAATGATGATGAAACAATCATACTTCTCAAAGTCAACCTTCTTTAGGTATTCTGCTGCTTTAAACTCTGGTGTTCCAATTCCTGGCAGATCCCATAACATGACGTTTGGGAATAAGGGATGTTTATATCCCTTTGCATCCATGGTGGTCTGTGTCACCCCAGTATCAGCTGAGTCCTCTTCATCATCAGTCATACCCCTGAGGGCATTGACAAAGGATGATTTACCAGCACCAGCCCTTCCGGTGACAGCGATGTTAAGGGTGGTTTTTTCCAGCAAATCCAGCACTTCACGACTTTCAGCAGAAATAGCCAATATGTCTTTTTCTTGCAAAGCAGATTTCATCTTTTCAAGGCCAAATGATAAGTTTTTGCTTGAGATGGCATCCAACAGGTAACCTCCTCCCAAAGGTTTTGTTGATCTAAGAAAGAGGAAATATTGTGATTGTTAATTGATATTATTTAATGTCCAAATGACCTTTTGCTTTAACAATCTGAATTGTTTGGAATTAATAATGTGGAAGTGGAACATGCTTCTCACAGAGAAAAGCAGCCACCACCTATGAGAAATTATATGATGAGGAATTCTTCACTTGCACGCTTTGGGCTTCTTTGTTGCTAGAAACATTAATGTGCCATTCCATCCTTGTGGGTCTGTGTTTATTTCTCCACCATCAGACCTCATGAGCTAAGTGCTGGGGTCAGTCTAGACATGATGGTATTTTTGCAGTTGCTGACTGCATGTTCTAAAGTAAATTGGCATAAGCCAAGAGAATAATCAGAAGTGCACCACATTCTGGATTGCTGTACTTGTACAGGGCCACTACTCCCTTGCAAAAGCATTATTCATGCATTCACTAATTCTGTGAATGCCATTATATCCTGTTTGGCCCTAAGTCCCCTCAAGGAAGGGACAGCGTGCAACCTTCATCTTGTTGGAACAACCCTCCGGCCCCAGCCATGAGATCTCTTCAGCCTTTCTCTTAATATCACCAAAATACTGAGCACTGTGTTTTAGTGAATTGGATTTTTTTTATGTAGGAAAGTATTGTATTCATTTGCATTGGCCGTACACAGAGAGGTAAAAGATAGTCAGATATCACAGAGATTCGTGGGAAAGGGATTCATAGGATAAATTCCAGGAAAGGCCTTGTTTGTGTATCATTCCATACCATTTGTTCAAACCTAATTATCCCTATGAATCAAGGCAAGCTGGACGTGGTCAAACAAGAGATGACAAGACTGAACATCAACATCTTAGGAATCAGTAAACTAAAATGGACAGGAATGGGTGAATTCAATTCAGATGACCATCAGGTATACTACTGTGGGCAAGAATCCCTCAGAAGAAATGGAGTTGCCTTCATAGTCAATAAAAGAGTAGGAAAAGCAGTACTGGGATACAAACTCCAAAATGACAGAATGATCTCAGTTCGAATCCAAGGCAAACCGTTCAACATCACAGTAGTCCAAGTCTATATCCCAACCACTGGTGCTGAAGAGGCTGAAGTTGACTGGTTCTATGAAGGCCTACAACACCTTCTAGAATTAACACCCAAAAATGATGTCCTTACCATCATGGGGGATTGGAATGCTAAAGTAGGAAGCCAAAAGATAACCGGAATAACAGGCAAGTTTGGCCTTGGAGTACAAAATGAAGCAAGGCACAGGCTGGTAGAATTTTGTCAAGAGAATACGGTGCTCATAGCAAACACTCTTTTCCAACAACCCAAGAGACGACTCTACACATGGACATCACCAGATGGTCAACACAGAAATCAAATTGACTATGTGCTCTGCAGCCAAAGATGGAGAAGCTCTATACAGTCAGTAAAAACTAGACCAGGAGCCGACTGTGGCTCAGATCATGAGCTTCTGGTTGCAAAATTTAGGCTTAAATTGAAGAAAGTAGGGAAAAGCACTAGGCCACTCAGGTATGACCTAAATCATATCCCTGATGAATATACAGTAAAGGTGACAAATAGATTTAAGGCATTAGATCTGATAGACAGAGTGCCTGAAGAACTATGGATGGAGGTTCGCAACATTGTACAAGAGATAGCAGCAAAAACCATCCCAAAGAAAAAGAAATGCAAGAAAGCAAATGACTCTCCGAGGAAGCTTTACAAATAGCTGAGGAAAGAAGGGAAGTGAAAGGCAAGGGAGAAAGAGAAAGATACACCCAATTGAATGCAGAATTCCAGAGAATACCTAGAAGAGATAAGAATGCCTTCTTAAATGAACAGTGCAAAGAAATAGAAGAAAACAATAGAATAGGAAGGACCAGAGATCGCTTCAAGATATGAAGGGCATGATAAAGGGCCAAAATGGCAGGGACCTAACAGAAGCAGGAGAGATTAAGAAGAGGTGGCAAGATTATACTGAAGAACTATACAAGAAAGAGCTTAACGTCCCTGATAAGCTGATAAGCACGATGGGGTGATCATTGACCTCAAGCCAGACATCCTGGAATGTGAAGTCAAATGGGCCTTAGGAAGTCTGAGCAACAACAAAGCTAATGGAGGCAACAGTATTCCAGCTGAGCTATTCAAAATCTTAAAAGACGATGCAGTAAAATGCTACACTCAATATGCCAGCAAATTTGGAAAACTCAGCAGTGGACACAGGATTGGAAAAGGTCAGTTTACATTCCGATCCCAAAGAAGGGCAAGGCCAAAGAATGTTCAAACTACCGCACCATTGCTCTCATTTCATATGCTACGAAAGTGATGCTCAAAACCCTACAAGCTAGGCTCCAGCAGTAAGTGGACCGAGAACTACCAGAAGTACAGGCAGGATTTCGAAGAGGCAGAGGAAGTAGAGATCAAATTAGCAACATACACTGGATCATGGAGAAAGCTAGGGAGTTACAGAAAAACATCTTCTTCTGCTTCATTGACTATGCTAAAGCCTTTGATTGTGTGGATCACAACAAATTGTGGCAAGTTCTTAAAGAGATGGGAGTACCAGACCATCTTATTTGTCTCTTGAGAAACCTATATGCGGGTCAAGAAGCAACAGTGAGAACTGGACATGGAACCACTGATTGGTTCAAAATTGAACAGGAAGGCCTGGAGGAGTGTTGTTCATGGGGTCACAATGGGTCGGACACGACTTAGTCAATAACAACAACAACAATTAGAGAATATGTAAACATGCTCCCGTCTTCATAGGGAGAGAAATTCCACTACAAGAATGGATACAGGACAGAATTTCGCATTCTGGACTGAACTGGGAGTTTGACCATTTTCCTTTCACAGAGATTCTTTCTTCAACAAGACAGATTTGTGGGAACAGTCTACCTTGTGATCCTTTGATAACCTAATCTGAGGCCCAACTATCATTCCAAAGCAAGTTGGTTAAAACTGGTGCTGAAGATTAGCTGACGTTAGCTTAGTTCAAGGGTAACACATTTCTCTGCTGTGGGACATGAAAGTGGGCAGTGTCACAGCCTTTGGAAAGATTTAAGGCCAAAAACGCACCAGGTATCTGGGCATAGATTGAAGATGGCGTGGTGTCTTGCTTCCTTCCTGGAGCGGCTACTGCAATGGTGACTCCTCTTTTTACTTTGGTGGGAGTGCTGTAAACAGGTATCTCCTGGGATCACAAGGAAGCATGTAGCTCAACCGCTAGATTCCAGTTTGGCCTCAAATTGGAAGCTAGGTAACAGGAGGCAACAAATACGACTCTGAGCACTGCCTGCCCTTTTCCACTGCCTAAAGATGGGCCCAGTACTCAGTATCCTTTTACTGCAGCTTAGAAAGAATTACGGAGAAAAGAGAGTTTTGTTACTAAGCCTACAAATGACCTAGAACTAGCAGGACTCGGTTTCCAGGGATTATCACAGTCTGTTCAGATATGCTGGAAGGGAGTTATGGAAGGGCGTTGTCAATGCAGTGAGGAGGAGATCAACCTCAAACTAAGGATGGTATCGACATTCAACAAGGGGAAAGAAATAAGTTCCCCTTTTGAATGCCACATGTTCACAGGCTCAGTTCTTGGTAGTCATGCATCAGCTCAACCCAGCTTACCTGGCACGTCCACCCAGGGGCAGTTTTGAGGCACGTCTCTTGAGGTTGTCACATTCATCCCATAAGGCTTGTTCAAGAGCAGGGAAATCATATTTCTCCAAATCCCACCTTGATATGAGAAAAAGTTTTGGGGAAGATTCTCTTTTTACTTCTTTCAAATACTCCTTCCTTATCTTCTCCAGAGTTTCTTCCTGACTGAAGTTTGGTCTCTTTCTTTCATTCTCTAGATCGACATCCAATTTTGTGCGCACATAAAAAATTTTCTTATTCATTTTATGAATTGCAGAGGCCAACTGGGCATCAGCCTCCGTGAATCGTTCTTTACTAACGATGATGAAGAAATCATACTGGTTCAATTTCATGTCTTTTATGTATTTCTTTGCTTTAAACTCAGGTGTTCCTGAGCCTGGGAGATCCCAGAATGTAATTTCTGGATGCGTGGGGTGCACATATGCTTTGGCTCCCATTGTACATTGCACCACATCAGTTGTGGCGGCACCAGGTCCTTCATCTGTCTTCATACCCCTCAGAGCATTGACAAGAGAAGATTTACCAGCACCACTCTCGCCTGTGAAGGCAATGTTTAATGTGTTCTTCGTTGAAGTGGGGAAAGAATGAGCTTGTGCTTCTAGGCGATCTCTTTGTTCCATGGGAGCCATCAGCCCATCACATTCCGCTGTTACTGTTCCTTTTGAAGTTTTACCACCCATGGTGACGGTTCAAGCTGATCTAAAGAACAGAACACTTTTAACAAAACTTTAACAAAACTTCTTGCAACATAGTGGTTATGTGAACTTTTCCTTGGACCATAGGAGTTTACATATCTGAGAAAACTCATTTATTTGTGACGTGCCTGCACCCATAGAAAATTATGCATTTTCATGTTATGATAAAGGACATGATGGTTTCATGTGCCTGTTTCTCACTGTAGGGCTTTGATTTCCTGTCACTGCTCCCACGCATTCCAAGCCATGTAATAATCCCCACTTTCTTTAGCTTATATTCTTTCCCTTTTGCTATGCATGCCTCCAGATAACTGCTGAGGACTGCAGTTAAGTGACTATACAGCTATTCTGCTGACTGTGCTTCTCTCCAGGTGCTTTTTTCTGCTCAGATTATCAAACATTCATGGCAAGGAGGTCATCCAAACACTGCAAAGCTGTGCCACCGGACCCTCCATACCTGTGGGATGGATGTGCCAAAGCTGGAGTAGTTTTCCTCCTCTAGCCAATTGGGCGACATTCTGACACAACCTCACTCCTTCCCGGACTGATGGAGCACGCTCAGGCAGGTCAGGCTTTGTCTGCCACCTGCCATC